TCTGCTTCTCTCCTATAACAATACTTGTGGTTTTGTATTTCAAATGTACCCAGATAATCTGCAATCTCCTCATTCAAAACCTTCAACTTCATCACATCTTGAAAGGCCAGGTTAGATGGCACTCACAGGTTCTGAAGACTGAGGTGTAGACACATCTTTGGACTCTGCTTCACAGCTTATCACAAGAGGATGAAAAGCAAATGGTCAGTCCACTTCTTAACTGTTTTCTTTCTGAGGCATGATCTCACTATGTAGCATTGGTCGACCTTGAATTTGCCATCTTTCTGCCTCAGGCTCACTAGTGCTGGGTTTACAAGCAGGTGCCACCACACCCTGCTTTCCATCATGGTAAGTGGGCATCAGGTCCAAGTTTGCTTCTAGTACCACTAAAATTCTTTTCTCGCCCCCACCATTTAAAACTCTCATAGCTATAGCTGGGTTTTATTTTGGAATGGAACTTCTCTTTTATCCCAAGCTCCAACGATTAAATATTTTGTAAGGTTTTTTGTTGTTGTTGTTGGTGGTGGTGGTGTTGATTTTTAAATCAATATAATTTTAAGAAATGACCTTCGCTCACTTTGGGTGGTGAGTGGTACGCCCACTTCTGCTAGGGGAATGGAAAGTCCCTTCTGCATGACACTCTCATCTGATGACAGCTCCCCCACAGCAGACTGGCATGTTGTAGGCACATTGCATCACTCCCACAGAGAGACAACGGGAAGGCTGTGAGGTTTGGGAACACCACTGCCACTCTTCCACTCCTTCACCCTACCCAGTCTTCCAGGAAGCACCCCCGACCCCTAGACCTGGCACTACAGTTCATGTGGTGGGTGTTAGACAAAGCAAAGCACTTCCCTAATCACACTCCTAGAACTCAAAGACCTGGCTGTTCCTCAAAGGGATCCCCAAAGATGCAAGTTGTTCGCCTGTCCCACTGCTTCTGGCACCCAAAACAGCCAGTTGCCTTCCCGGAGTCCTGTGAAGGCTGCGAATAGGGATTGTTCCGTTTCAGCCTCTTTCCACTCTGTTAAGGATCATTTAGAACATGCCGAGGTAACTTTTTTGTCTTCGAGCACTGTAATTTAGTTCCGTTTGGGACCGTCTATGTGTGAGTCATTTCTGTAGCTGTGCTGAGAAAAATAGAAAGAGTGTTTCTGAAAACTTGGGGTGTCAAGCTGGACCGTTTTTTTTTTTTAAAAAAAATCATATGTATTTATTTGGAGTGTGTGTCCCCACATGTGTGCCAAGGGCACAGGACAACTTGTAGGAGTTGGTTCTCTCCGTCCATAATGTAGATCCCTGTTGAACTAGGTCAACAGGCTTGGTAGGAGGTACCTTAATTAGCCCACTGAGACATCTTGCAGCCTTTGTGCTGGACCCTTGATCCCTGTTGCTAGTATTGTCTCCCTCCCCCACTCCTCTTACTTTTTCCTTCCATTTCATTTCTTTTCTTATAAGACAAAGTCTGCCAGGTGTTTGTGGTGCACACCTTTAATCCTAGCACTCAGGAGGCAGAGGCAGATGGTTCTCTGTTGGATTTGAGGCCAGTTTGCTATTTGTCCGAGTTGACCTCAAATTCAGTGGTTCAAGGGATCCTCCTGCCTCAGCTGCTTAAGTACCTGGAAATACAGGCAGGCACTACTATGACTAGCTAGCTTTAGTCTGAATAGTGGCTTTCATATTGTCAAAGGGATAACAGAATTTGAATCACTCTGTTTGCCAAGTACTAATATAACAAGTGCCTCCCAGTTTTATAACTCTCTCTCTCTCTCTCTCTCTCTCTCTCTCTCTCTCTCTCTCTCTCTCTCTCTCTCTCTCTCTCTCTATCTCTATCTCTATCTCTCTATCTATCTAACAAGGTCCTTCTCTATGGACCTGGTTGTCCTGGACTCACGATGTAACCCAGGCTGGCTTGATCTGGTGGCACCCTCCTCCCTCAGCATCCCAAGTGCTGGCACAAGAGGCCCCACACACCATTTCTTTTACACACCAGCCACGATTGGTTGGTTTTGTTCTGCAGACCTGAAAGGCCCCACCCCCGATCAATGACACGTGGACACATGCATCCATGATGTCACGGATCATTCTTTCGTGGGGGATCTAGTTTTTTGCCGATTCTATTCTGTGACTGTCAGCATGTTTTATTTCTAGTAACCCCTGAAGCAGAACTCCTCCGTGCTTGTCTGGTACCAACTCTTTCTCCGTAGTTCTTGTTTCTGGTCTGCCCTTCTTGATTTGGGATGTGCCAAAGAGAGAAGGGTGAAGCAAGTCAGAGGGGAAGCTGTGAAGTCAGAAGAAGGGGGGTGGAAGAAGGGGGGTGGAAGAAGGGGGGTGGAAGAAGGGGGGTGTGGGGACGAGCAGAGGCTCTCGGCAGATGTCCTGTCTCTTCCTTCTTTAAATGTGGCGCCCAATGCAAACAAGCACATTCAGTTCTGAATTCTAGCTCATGCCTGCCGCGTGGACAAACGGCATAGAGTGGTGACAGCTAAGGCTCCAGGCCCCCTCCTGCCATCTCTCTTCCTTGCCTCTCAGTCGTTGTAGATGCCTCTAGTATACCACACCAATGCCTGGCGTCCAAAACACCTGTCTCTGGAAGTTGTAAAGGTGAAAGGGGGACATTTGGAATCACAAAGATGAATCCAGAGTTTGCTCTGGCTCCTTGGACAAACGATCAAACCTTTGTAAGTTTTAACTGTGCCATAGATAGTGTTTACCTCCTGAGTAGTAATCGAGAAAATGTATAGAGAAGGCTCAGTATAGCACCTGACAAGCAAAACAACTCAGTCACCCGCAGAGAGGAGCCCAGGGAGCTGTGAGGTCAGGGGAGGCTTCCCTGCAGCCAGAATGAGCCCCAGCCGCAGGTGCCAAGAGCTGTTTAAAGCAGAAGAAACTGGGTCACTGGCGTAGAAAGCGATTGAGTTCTACTTTCTGTCAGAGGCCAGCAGGGCAAGGTTCCACCCTGTCTACTTATAACCTGTGTCCTTCTATAGCCTTAGCCACTGAGAAGATTCTAGACGTGCCTGTGACTTTCCATTCTCTCTAGCTCCATAAATTCAGCTGTCAGTCATTCTACTCACCACCTTGAATGATCCTCAATTGGCTTGTACATCTCATGGTTCTTTCTAGTCATTTGGCCGAGCCCTAACCCTGCCTTAGCTCTCTGCCTTACTTCATGTCCTCATCCATAGAGGAACGGCCTGCAACTTCCTTGACTGATGCTAGCATGTTGGTGTGTCTCCCTTCCATGTACTGAAACTTAATCATCAATGCGGTAGTATTAAGAAATGGAGTGGTTGAGAAAACAATAAAGCCATTAAGGTTCTGTCCTCCTGAATGGGGTTAGTGCCTTTACAAAGGAGACTGAAGTGAGCCTGCTTCCCCACTTCTGTCCCTCAGCCATGTGAGAACTCAGCAAAAGGCACTAGCTAGGGCTTGGGGTAGAGTTCAGCGGGAGAACACTTCCACAGCATTCACAAGGCCCTGATTTGCTTTCTATCACAGCAACAACAACAACAACAACAACAAAAAAAAAAAAAAAGGGAGAGGAAAACCCATTTCAAGAACATCCAACCTACTGGTGCATTCATCATGGCCTCTCTCTAAGGCCTGGGACTGTGAGCAGTAAGTCTCAATTGTTTGTTAAGTTACCCGGCCTAAGATACTGTGTTATAGTAGCCTGAATGGACTAAGATATCTGGTCTCAGCTTAAACTTCAAGAGGTCCTTAGGCTTCTCAGCAATATTATCAGGTTCCCATGGTCTTTATCATCTTCGTTCTGCTTACTAGGCTGCTGGAAAGAGGAGATGAGAAATGCCTCATGACCTTGTGTCCCCTCCCCCAGCTGCATGAACAGAAAGCATCATAACCAGACCCCCCTCCTTCCCCTCTCTCTTTCCTCTCTGTTGTTTTCTGAGACAATCTTACTGTGTAGCCCAGCCAGTCCTTGAACTGGAGATCCCCTGCCTCCACCTTCTGAGTGCGGGGATTATAAACCTGTACTACCATGCCTGGTAGACCAGGCTACCCTGTAAAGTATGGCTCATTTCTCTCTAAGAAGGCATCCTTACTCAGTCAAGTCCACAGAGCCTGCTGGGAAAGGAACAGGGCAGGTGAGGCTTGGCAGCTGATGGGAGCCTATAGCGAAGGGTGGGGGTACAGAAGCCCTAGCCAGTTTTTACTCTTGGACTGGCAAACCATCTATCTCTGTCTGAGACTTTTCTGATGATGAGATCCGTGATGTATTTTAAAGTGGTGGAAAGGCATAGCCATGAAATATAATCCACCACATGTAGTTGGTAATTTTTAAAGCATCACAGCGACCAAATTATGCAGAAATTTACTCCTGTGCATATTAGTCAGCTGCAGTTAGCGGGGGAGGGGGGGATTACAAACTTCCTCAACAACTTTTTTCTCCTTCTTTCTCCCATATACTCATCATAAAACTACAGCCTTACAACTTTAAGTTTTAAAAATATACACCTATTTATTTATGTGCGTGAGGGGAGGGAGGTGCATGTGTGGAGGTCAGAGGACAGCCCCAGGGATCGGTCTCTCCTTCCACCGTGTGTGTCCTGGAAATCGAACCCAGGACATCTAGGCAAGGGTCTTTACAAGCCGCTAAGCCACCCTGTCAGCTTATAGCTTTAATTTTAATATAACTACTAATCTTTTATTTCTAATCCAGAGAGTGTCCCAAATGCACCTTCTACCCTGTCATTTTCGTGGTTCAAAGTTCTGTGCTTTCGCAAAAGCAAATCCTTCAGCCTCAGACTGAAACCGGGTTTTTCTTTGTGTTGGGAGTTGCTTTGCCCTGCTGTTTACTTTATTAGTTCCCTGCGGGTTCACTCCCCTCCCCTTACTACAACCAACTGGGGAGGCCAGTGGTAGGCACCCTCTGGGCTGGGCTTGGAATCCCTTCTTCGATTTGCCCGCTGCCAGTGACGGTTTTCTGTCTCCTCGGGCTCCACCTAGCGGGCTGAAGTGGCCAGCACCGCCGTCACTCAGATTTGTTTACAATCCGAGGCAGCTCCTAAAACGATTCTCTTCATTCCTTCATTCGTTCGGATTACTGGATTATAAACTACAGGATTTCCCGCTCCCCCAAGATCCAGAGGCTGGCAAATCCAAGGTCAGGATGCCAACAGATTTGGTGTGGGTCGGAACCAGCAGTCTCATAGATGACACTGTCTTACAGTATGTCATGTGGCGGGAGGGAGGCCTTGCAGTGATCCTCAACCCGGGGGTCAAATGACCCTTTCCCAGAGGTCGCCTAAGACCATGAAAAAAACACAGATATTTACGTTATGATTCACAACAGTAGCAAAATTACAGTTATGAAGTAGCAATGAAAATAGTTTTGTGATTGGGGGTCACCACAGCATGGAGGGTCATAGCATTAGAAGGTTGAGACCCACTGGACTAGGGGATCTCCTGAGGGTCTCTTTCACTGAGCACTAATCCAATTCATAGACGTGTGCCCACTTAACCCAGTAGTAATCATCTTCCCAAGAAGACTCCTCCTATCATTATTGACTTGGGGGTGGGTAGGATTTCAACATATTCCCAGGGGTGGAGATATGATACAGACATTAAGTCTGTGGCAGTTAGATGTAATGTTGCCTCTTTCAAACTGTCTGCTCTGTTCTTGGACAAAATCGAAAGGGCTTATTATTGTTCCTCATGGACACATTGCTTTATACCTCAGGCTAGGAGGAACTATTAGAAAATGTACCCTTCACTGATACTCAATTGCTTGTTCTTTTTTAAATTGTTATTATTATCATTTGGGGACACAAATACCATGGCACATGTGGAGGCTACAGGAAAACTCTGTGGAGTCCATTCTTTCCTTCCACCTTTATGTGGGTTCTGGGGACCCAACATAAGTGTTGAACTCTAAGAGCAAATGCCGAACAGTCTCTCAGGGCCTGGATTACTGTTTTTAATATGCAAAGTTTGCCTTTCTAAAAAACCTTCTTGCAATGGGTGGTGACTTTTGCCTTTAATGAGATCACAGGAACTGGCCTGTGCTTTGGGTTCTAGCTAAACTTATCATTTATATAATTTCCAACTCTTTTTCCTACCTTATATAGGAAAATCTGGTCATAGGGGGTGTATGTAAATTTCAAACACTTGGAGTGAGTTTTTGTCTGTTTCACTTTACTTAGACTCTCAAGTCCTGGGAAAAGATCCTTCTGATTATTTCAAATAATATTTATTGAAAGATACTATAGGCGAATGCTGATTTAGACATTGGGAGTATAAGATTAGAACCATTGTATTCCTGGGGTGGGAAGGGTTACTAGGGGAACAAATAAACAAACATGGATGAGAAGGCTGATAAGTGCTGTCACAGTAAAGCAATGAGGAAGATGGAGTGAGGGGGAGTAGGTGCTATTTTATGATCGGCAGAGATCCACTGGTAAAGCAACATCTGCAAATGTCCCTAAAGACAGTGGAGGAAAGAGTATGCACAATCTGTGGGAAAGCGTAGAACAGCAAGGAAGTGAGGTGTCCTGAGGGATAAAGGCCTTTGTGGCTGGAAAGACACAGGATGAAGCCACCCCACATCTGGGCTACACACACACACACACACACACACACACACACACACACACACACACACACACACACCCCGGAGAAACAGTTCACTCATTTTCTCCATTTTAAGTTAAGTCCCTTTTAGTCTCTAGTTGGAGATGTTGGGCACATGTTGGAAAATCAGATGTGGAGTTTAGACTAGTGGCCTGGCCTGAAGAGAAAAATGTACACGTTAGCAACATACAGATTTGTAGATAATTTTCAGGCAGGAGCCTACCTGAGATTCCTTTAATAAAAAGAGAGAGAGAAAGAGACGTTTGAAGATCGGCACATAGGACACACTAACATTGAGAGTTGGGGATGGGAAGAAAATCCATGAGAGAAGAAGTGATCAAGAGTGGAACTCGGAATGACGCCAGCTCACACGGTGGGAGGAAGGGTGGCATTTGCTGGTGACATGACAAATGGGATGATGAAGGAAGTGAGACAAGAACTGGAAATTGACCATGATATTTAGCTGTGTGGAAGTTGTTGTTGACCTTGACTGGTACAAACCGGTGAAGCGATAAGATGAAAGTCTGAACGCAATGACTTGGGGAGGGGATGTGGAGAGAGGAGAGGGGGACAGCGTGGGTAGAACTCTTCTTTTTGTTTGTTTACAGAAAGACATGACAAAACATGATCTGCAGGCTTATGTAGCATCAAAGAAACGCGAGTTTTTGATGTGAAGACCGAGGACTCCGCAGGGACCTTGAACCCATGAGTCACCATGAATGTGCAGAGACACGCTTTGGATGTTTACCCTACAAATACTGCCTGTAACTATCAAAAAATTGAATGCACTGCAGAACAGACCTACGGCCAGTGGTAGCAATCAGTGTGAAACTGTGCCACACAGTAGTCCGGAAAAGACTTTCTACTATTGGCTGTACTATCTGAGACGGTAGTGTATAGCCTGCTGTGCTCTGGAACACGTGGGTGGGAGTACAAAGTGTTCTGGAGTATCAACGGAACCTACAGTTCAAAAGTTCAGAGATTGTCTTCGCAGAACAAATCTCAACTGGCATTTTTATAGGACCTGGAAAGGGGATGTGGTGACAACCTCCTCACCACTAGTCATCATATTTTTAAAAAAGCCATAGCTGTGTGTGAACAAGTCATGCTAGGCTCCAGTACCTATCCTACACGGGCTAGTAGAAGACAAACCTTTATGATTGAACTTGAGTCATTTGGTTCTGTATGACATCTCAGACAGCCACAGGTTTTTCTGATGACTGCTACATGTTTATTCTTTTGATTTGATTATTTTCTCCTTGCCAAGTGACTCTATTATTGTAGTTGAAATTGCATGTTTGCTAATCAACTATTTACTATCTAAAAAATCAAAAATGATGTTTCTAGTTTTAGTTTTTTCCAACTTTTTGTGAGCAAAGTCATTCACTCTGCAGTCTAATTTTCACATACACACAACAGAGGGGGAGAGGAGAGAGAGGGGGGCAGGGAGAGGAAGAGGGGGAAGGACAGGGAGAGGGACAGGGAGAGGGAGAGGGACAGGAGAGAGCTCTTCTGCCACTGTTTTTTGTTTTGTTTAGTTTATGGTCACAATTACCTCACATTTGTAGGAATCGGCCTCTGGCTGTCAGCACACACCTTACAGATTCTGCTAAGCCACATGATTGGAGGCCAAACAAGAGAGTTGAAAGCAGCTAGTGTGTGTGTGTGTGTGTGTGTGTGTGTGTGCGCGCGCCTGCCTGTGTGTGCCACAGAGAGCATGTGGAGGCCAAACAAGAGAGTTGAAAGCAGCTAGTGTGTGTGTGTGTGTGTGTGTGTGTGGTGTGTGTGTGTGTGTGTGTGTGTGTGTGCGCGCGTGTGTGTGCGTGTGCCTCCCTGTGTGTGCCACAGAGAGCATGTGGAGGCCAGAGAACAACTTTTGAGTGCTGACTCTCTCCTTGGGTCTTGTTGAGACAAGGTTTCTCTTGGTTGTGCTATTGCACAAACTTCCATTTGCTTTACATCTTTCCATAGAAATGCTGGGATTACAGATGTACACCGTCCCATCTGACCTTTTACATGGGCTCCAGGAATGGAACTCAGGTAGCCAGACTTGTGTAACAAGAGCTTTTACCCACCAAGCTACTTCCCTGACCCGTCTTCTTCCTCTTCTTCCTGTTCCCCTCCTGTATTTGTTTAATTTTTAATTTATTTACTTGTGTTTGTGTGTGTCAGTGCATGTGTGCACAACACCTGGCTTGTCATGTGGGTGTGGTATCCAAACGCCCAGCTTCATGATTGAGCAGAGAGCACTCTTAATTGCTGAGCCAGCTCTCCAGTTCCTCTATTTTTAGTCTTGATAAGAGTTTATTTAACAATTATTCTTTTATGCTTTGTGATTTTGTGTTCTGTCTTGGATTTTTTTCTTATCTCACATAACAAGATGAAGTTTTCCATATGTTTTATCATAGGATTTTTATATTTTAGTTTTTGTTTTAGGTATATGATCTTTATATCTAAACACTATATATACTGGAATATAATTACTACCCCCTCCAAGGGCAGCCAGTTATTCTAGCTCCATGTGTAAGAAAGACTATGAATTCTTCATTAGAGAAGGATTGGACTGTCTTGTCAACTCACCTGACCACACACTCTTCAATCTTGGCTTTTTCTCCTTTTTCCCCTCCATTCCACAACTCTTTCTTCCTTTTTATTATCAGAGTCCATGTTACACCTGGATTCCATTAGTTTTTAGTTACTGTCCTTCTCTGCCCCAGGATCCCACATTACAGTTAGTCATCAGGTGTCCCTCAGGCTCCTTTCAGCTTTGACAGTCGTTTCATTTAGTTCTGAGAAGTACTGACCCTATATTGAATAGATGATTTCTCAGTTCAGCTTTTTTTTTTCTTTTGTTAGTATTCTCAAGAGCAGTACTGTGGTTTAGATATGGTGTTGAATATGCTTCCTAAGGTCACCCAGGCGTACTGTTGGGAGATGGTGGAACCTCTAAAGAGTGGGAGATGACTAGGTTGTAGGAATACTAGTCAAAGCAAGAGACCAACACTAGTCTCTCAGAGCAAGTTAATTCCCAAGGGTGAGTGGTTCTAAAAAGAGAAAGATTGACCCCTCAACTCCCCATCCAGCTTCTCACCTTGCCATGTGACCTCACCTGCTCTGCCTTGGGGACATCATCTACCATAAAGCCCTCATTGGAACTGAAATGGATGGTATCAACTGATTCAAACTTGTGGCCTCCCAAACTGGAATCTAAGCAAACCACTTCATAGATACTCAGCTGTAGATACCATGTGTTCCAGATAGTTTTATGTCAACTTGACATAAGCTAAAGTCATTTGAGAGGGAGCAATCTCAATTGAGAAGATGCCTTCATAAGATTGTAGGGCAAGCCTGTAGGGCATTTTCTTAATTAGTGATTGATAGGGGAGGGCTCAGTTCCATTGTGGGTTGCTGGTCTTGGGTTCTATAAGAAAGCAGGCTGAGCAAGCCAAGAGGAACAAGCCAGTCATCAGCGCCTCTTCATCAGCTCCTGCCTCCAGGTTCCATCACTGCTCGAGCTTCTGTCTTGACTTCCTTCAGTGATGGCTACAATGTGGGAGTGTAAGTTTGCTTGTGGTGTTCCTCACAGCAAGAGAAACCCTGATTACGAGGCAACAGGGTTAAGGCAACAGAACACGACTACCCTGTAGCTTCTGCCACTTCTTTTGTTTGTGTTTCAGATTACCTAACATTTGTAGGAATCTGCCTCTGCCTGTCAGCACACACCCGGCAGATTCTGCTAGGCCACTGGAAAAAACATGAGTTGACAGCAACTGTCTTGTGGTTCATCATCAGAGATAGACAGCCCAAGGACTGAGGCTGTTTCTCCATTCTTTCTTCCCCACATTTACTCTCTGCCCTTTGAACTCGATGTGGCAACTTCCCCCTTTTACATTCACTGGTCTGTCAAGTTTGGGACCTTGCTCTTTGACTTAATAGATAATCTCTGGCTGGCTACTAGCCATCATCTTGGAGTGTTTTGATAAGTTTTGTTGTTTTCCGTGCAAGTTACGTTGCAGGACAGTATATGATGGTTTTTAGTGGCACTCAATGAAAAAGGAAAGGTCTATCCAAATCACAGCACCAATGAAAGGAATGATAAGCAGCACTGGTTACTGCGTGGAAAGGTCATGGTCATGACAGAACCCAGTATTAGTTTTAGAGCTTTATGGGGGCGGGGGAGACAAGAGAACCTGGGGAGGAGAGCATGTGCAGAGAGAGGGAAGATGGTGGGGGGGAGAGAGAGCAGAGCAGAACGGGGAGGGGGGCATCTGAGTCATGGCTCTTTAAGGTGCTGATGGGCATGCCACGCATGCACAGATTGTGTGACCACGCTGTGCTTACATGATCACCAGCGCACACTGATGACATAAGATGCTGTGGGATGTTCTGTATGGCAAATGCGTTGCTCTGATTGGTTGGTAAATAAATCACTGATTGGCCCGTGGCCAGGCAGGAAGTATAGGCGGGACAAGGAGGAGAATAAAGCTGGGAAGTGGAAGGCTGAGTCAGAGAGGCACTGCCAGCCGCCACGATGAGAAACAGCATGTGAAGATGCCGGTAAGTCACAAGCCACGTGGCAAGGTATAGATTAATGGAAATGGATTAATTTAAGCTGTAAGAACAGTTAGCAAGAAGCCTGCCACGGCCATACAGTTTGTAACCAATATAAGTCTCTGTGTTTACTTGGTCGGGTCTGAGCGGCTGTGGGACTGGCAGGTGAGAGAGATTTGTCCTGACTGTGGGCCAGGCAGGAAAACTCTAGCTACAATAAGATGCAAGACCCTTTGCTTAACTCCTGAACTGCACATGTGTGGTCATGCAGCTGGAGTGAGGGCAGAATTCTAACAGTGTATATTGTAACCTTTGGTGGTTTCTGATTGTTGCACTCTAAAATCAAAACAATTCTTGAACACATGTTCTACACTCCCAGCTATGTATTCATAATGCACATTTTTTACATTAATGCTACTTTGTTTGTGATTTTAGGATCTTGAGGTATCATCAAGTTCTAAGTAATTGTTCTTGCAAACTTGGGAGATGGGAACCAGAGCATTTCCAAGCCTCCCAAAACAACAGGATTCCTCTTACTCCATTGCTTTCATACCAGAGTATCTTGCTGCCTTTACTCCTGGTCAGGAAAGTCTAGCAAAAGTTTTCAAAGCTCCATCTTGCCAGGTGTGGCAGTTTGAAAGAAAATGGCCTCCAAAGGGAGTGGCACTATTAGGAGGTGTGGCATTGTTGAAGTAGGTGTGACCTTGTGGGAGGAAGCATGTCACTGTGGTGGCGGGCTTTGAAGTCTTTTTTGCTCAAGCTTCATTCAGTGTGACACTCACTCCACTTCCTGTTGCCTGCAAGATATAGGACTCTCAGCTACTATTTTAGCACCACGTCTGCCTGCACACTGCTCCCGCCATGCTTCCTGCCATGATGATAATGGACTGGATCTCTGAGCTGTAAGTGAGCCACCCCAATTAAATGTTTTCCTTTATAAGAGTTGCTATGGTCATGATGTCTCTTCACAGCAATAGAAGCCCTAACTAAGACACCAGGTATGGAGATTAATCCTCATTGCCTACTTGGCTGCATTTGAGATCATCAAGAGGCATATTTCTGCACAAGCATGTGCTGGTGTCTAGAGTTTTAACTGAGGAGAGAAGACCTACCCTAAATGTGAGTGGCATCATTTCATGAGCTGCCTAAATAGAAAGTGGGAAGGAGAAAGCCTCTGGAGCAATCAGCATTCGTATGGTGGTTTGAATGGGAATGTTCTTCATAGGCTAATATAGTTGAATGCTTGGTCCCACTTGGTGGAACTGTTTGGGGAGGACTAGGGGGTGTGGCCTTGTTGGAGGAGGTGTGTCACTGCAGGGTGGGCTTCAGAAGCCCACACCATTTCCAGTTAGCTCTCTCCCTCTGACTCCTGTCTGTGGATCAGAATGTAAGCTCTATGCTATGGCTCCAGCACCATGCATGCCTGCCTGCTGCCATGCTCCCTGACATGATGATCATGGACTCTAATCCTCTCTAACTGTGAGCCCTCAATTAAATCCTTTATTTAATAAGTTGCCTTGGTCATGATATCTCTTCTCAGCAATAGAAAAGTAACTCAGACAATTCTTTTCTCTCTGCTTCTTAGTCAGAAGCTGAGCCCAAACTGCCTCTGCCTCCATGACATCCCATCTTGATGGACTGTATTCCTCTGAACTGTGAGCCCCAAATAAAACTTCTTTCATGTGATTTTTGCCAGACATTTGGTTACAATGAAAAAGCAACCAATACACTAGGCAACGAACTTTTGCATTGAAATACGAATCCTTGCCACCTCCAGATTTCTCTTTGTTGTTGCCTAAAG